TATAACTTACCTAAGGTTCTAAAAAGGACAACAGTCAATACCTACATCAAGATCATCGCACAGTATCGGAAGCAGCAGCCATGGACAGTCGCAGTATTGATTTTACAGGCACTCTATTAAGCAAGTAGCTGTATAGCCCATAAGGCCCGGTTACCTTAACGTTTTTCCTTACGGTGCATGACAGAAAATACATTTTCAATTTTCTCAAAAAATACAATTTTTTTTTTTTTTTTTTTTTTTAAATTTAAATTGAAATGTATAAAACGGAATCAACTATTTTAGAACAAGCAAAAACTTTTGTAAAGAATACATTTTTCTCAAAATGTCAATAATAAAAAAGTTTTTACTCTTGTAAAGACAATCTGGGGACATACTGTATAAATACCAAATTATAATACACAATGTGATACAATGTTCCATATCTTATTTTTTAAGATTCTCACTTCAAAATATACCGGGTAATTCGAATATATTTTGCGCTAAAACTGTTTTTTATGGAAATTTAAAACCTACAATTTTAGGGTATAAATATATTTGAATCACCCTGTATTAGGAAAAAAACATTGAGCTTATTCGGATTTTTTTTTGGGCTACCCTATGGATCTAACTGTATTTTCTATTTGAAATAATTTTGTGCTTATACCAGGTACGTCTCGAAAGTGGCCCATCCCTATAAGTTTTTATTTTTTGAGATAAAAAAACGAGATTTGGTATGTCAGTAAAATGCTTTAGAGATGCCCAAATTGTATTTTTAATCATATCTCAATTTTTTCAAAAAGAACAAGGGTGGCTCATTAGCATATTTGGAAAAAGCATTTTTTTACGAATAATTTGGTATTACACACTCGGTATTTCGCGTCAAATTGTTTTTTTTATATGTCAATCTATTCAGAGTGTCATTTTCTATCGAATAAAGTAGACCAAAATCAATTGAATACGTCAATTAATCCTAATTTATGTCACATACATAAATCTCGTTTTTTTTATCTCAAAAAAAAATAAAAAAGTTATAGGTGTGAGTTACTTTTGAGATGCACCCGGTATATCATTAATAATATCCTCCAAACATGTTCTAATATTATTTCTAAGGTGGATAATGACTTATTTTCCTTTAGTCAAGTAAAAAATAACAGATATGGCAACATTGCAGATAGCATATTAAGCAATATCAGTGAATCATGTTTTTAAGTACGCTTATACGCGTTTGTTACATTCTCGTGTTGTTTTTCGATATAAAATAATAAAAATGTCTCCAAAAACGGAATCCGATGAATTAAAAAAGCGCGTTCTTGATTTTTTGTGTGACGACATCAAAAAATTCTTCTTTATCGACTGCTCAAGTTCCAAATTAAGCAGGAAGGAAATATTTGGTGTTATTCAAGGTCTCCAACAAGATGAAAGTGCGGATGACTCAGCCAAAACATTGAGAAACTACCAGGGATCAAAAAATCAAGCATATTACACATGGAATCGTGAAGATTTAGAAGATATAATATCGAATTCTCCTAATTTGGTCGTGTTGGAGTTACCAGAAGAAGAAAATATTGATAAAGATCAAGTAAAGAAGATTTTAGATCTCGTAGAGAGACGTTTGTGGAAAAAAGTGGTGCTGATTTCCAAGAAAAAAGATATTTTTGATGATTTAGTTTATTGGTATCATAAAGCAGGTGTGCTGAAACTTAATAAAGAATCTGTTCTTCAAGACCTTTTTCCTATTCATAACATAGTTGTTAAAGATTCCTCGGCAGATACTATAACAGATTTGGTTCATAAAGGTGCAGATATTAATGTACAAGATGAAAATAAAGACACACCTTTACATCTGGCAGTTGAAAATGGAGCTACACACTTAGTGCATCTTTTGTTAAGTCTTGGAGCAGATGTTAACATCGGAAACATCCAAAATCGAACTGTTTTGCAAGTGGCTTTGGAAAAAAGCTTTATTGACATAGCTAATATTCTTTTAACCGAGAATATAGACGTACATTTAAAAGATGATAATGATGTACTGCTTTACATTTGGCAGCGAGGCTTGGAGATGTTGACATTATGAAAAAATTGTTGAAAAAGGAGCTGAAGTGAATATCGAGGATGATTTTGATTGTACTCCATTGATATATGCTTGTGAAGGTGGAAAAGAAGCAGTAAAGTATTTATTACCTCTGATAAAGGACGTAGATATCCAGAAAACATTATTGCACTCAGTTAAAACTGACAACGGTGATGTCATAGATATTCTAGTACATTCTGGTGCTGACGTCAACTTCCAGGATGCTGATGGATTTACTCCATTATTTACTGCAGCTTCCTATGGGAATTTAAGCACAGTAAATGCTCTATTAAACCATGGAGCTGATCCAAATAAAACAACTACTTACTGTGGGACTCCTTTACAACAGCGCAGTTTCAAAAGACATAATGAAGTAGTCAAAAAACTACTAAAAGCTGGTTCTGGAGTCGATGCAATATTTGAAGGCAAGAATATCATTCATATAGCTGCTGAACAAGCTGACAAAGATATCTTGCTTGCTTTACTAGAAAATAATGCAGATGCATTGAGTAAAGACAAAGAGGGTAATACTGCATTACATTATGCCATTTTGAACGATTGTACTGACGTTATTGATGTTCTTATCGCTCAAGGGATAGATATAAACGCCAAAAATGACCAGTTTCATACAGTCTTGTATTCTGCATGTCGCTACGACATTCCAGACGTAGTTAAACGTCTGATATCCCACAACGCCGATGTTAGTATCAAAGAAAACTGCTTAGGATGGTCTCCTTTGCATAGGGCTTGTGAAGAAGGTAACTTGGATGTAGTAAGAGTTTTGCTTGATGCCGGAGCGAATGTCAGTGACGTTACGAAGTTCAAGGACACTCCCTTACACCGTGCTGTAGGTAAAGGTCATGAGGGGATTGTTGAGGAATTGGTAAGGAGAGGTGGTGACGTCACAGCGGTTAATGGTAGAGGTGAAAGTGTGTTAGATATAGCCCGAAAACGGCAATCAAAGGAAATATTAGAACTCCTTGGTAAAGAATCCTGATGACTGTTAAATTTAGCTCATGTAATATTATGATCTTAGTTACTATTTTTATTAATTATTAAATAAAAATTTGTGAATTATTTATTGTGTTTAATTTGTCATTTCTAATAATATTTGTTTTATTTTGATATGGTATGCATATCATTCGTTATCTGCTAAATTTTAAGCAAACAAAATCAAATAAATAGTTATACCTATTACCTACTTTTACATTACTGTATTTTTAAGTTGTTATTGAACTTGTAAATGATAAATGAAATATAGTTAAAAAAAACTGAAAATTGCTTTATTCAAGTATAACAAGGACTTAAGAATACTTAAAATGGATTAAAACTGTTTGAATTGATGACAAAAATCCGGGATGTTTTTTAAATAGATTTCCGAAAATCAAGTAAAGGATAATGGTATTGGAACATTACACCTTACAAGTATCCTTTTATATTTAGGTATTTATCTATGAAGTACCCTAAATAACTACCTAAATGTGTCATGTTTTCTATATAAGTAATACATTTGGTGGGAAAGTCACTATAGGTCTCCGCAGTGGGAAAATCACAAATAGCCAAAATTTGTTTTTCCGAAATATCTAGAAAGCATGTATAACTATGATTTTTTAAATGTGCGTTATTATCACATCCATATTTTGCAAAAAATATATTCAAGAAAGAAACTTGATATAGAGTTTCGTGATACCGGGTCACCCTGTATATTTAACTGTATTTCGTAATTGAAATACGTGTGAATCTTATAATTATTATTATCTCCGTCTATTTCTTTTTTTTTTTCTAATGTTGATTATTAGTAATTTTCGCTAATCAAGTAAAAGGATAATGGTATTGGAACATTACACCTTACAAGTATCCTTTTATATTTAGGTATTTATCTATGAAGTACCCTAACTAACTAGCTACCTAAATGTGTCATGTTTTCTATATAAGTAATGCATTTTTGGTTTATCCATTTAATAGTTGCCCGAAGTTGCACATTTATTCATATTATTTGTTACATTTTCATGTTAAAAAATGTCTTCAAAAACGGTATCTAAAGAATTAGAAAAGCGTGTTCTTGAGTTTTTGTGTAACCAGACTCAAAAATTCTTGTTTATCGACTGTTCAAATTCCGGGTTAAACGGAAACGAAATATTTGGTGTTATTCAAGGGCTTAAACTTCTTAAAGTAGAAAACAGTGCAAAAAACTCAGCCAAGAGACGAAAGATAGAGCTACCACAGGGAAACTACTTGGGAAGAGAAAATCAAGCATATTATAAATGGAATCATGAAAATTTAGAAGAAATAATGTCAAAATCTCCTAATTTGTTGTTGTTGGAGTTACCAGAGGAGGAAGATATTGATAGAGATCGAGTAAAGAACATTTTAGATCTTGTAGATAGATATTTGTTAAAAAAAATGATACTGGTTTCGAAGAAGAAAGATTTTTTTGAAGATTTATTTTATTGGTACCATAAAGCAGGTATGCTGAAACTTAAAAAACCTCAGCCAGCTTTTTTTCCCATTCACAATATTGTTGTTGGTTCCTTAACAGATATTATCACAGATTTGGTTCGTAAAGGTGCAGATATTAATCAACAAAATGGAAATAAAGATACACCTTTACATCTGGCAGTTGAAAATGGTCGTATTGACTTAGTGCGTCATTTGTTAAGTCTTGGTGCAGATGTAAATCTAAGAAACAAAGAAAATAAAACTGTTTTGCATGTTGCTTTGAAGAAAAACTTTCTTGACATAGCTCATATTATTTTAAAAAAAAACGTAGACGTAAATTTAAAAGATAATGAAGGATATGCTGCTCTACATTTGGCAGCAGGGCTTGGAAATATTGACATTATGATACAGCTGTACCACATTCCAAACATAGTTAGATGTTTGATATCCCATAAGGCAGATGT